TTGTCTGCAAACCAGCATTCAATGGATTGGACGATAGGATACTCATCGAGAGATTCAATGCAACCGCCATTCGAGTCATAAATGTGTTCAACGATAGGATCGAGTGTTTTGCCGCAAGTCTTGTCCGCAACACTGATGACATCATTTCGTTCACAAAATTCATCAAATTTGATGAAAAACTTGTCAAATACTTTCCCCACGATTTGGCTGTACTTATCAAATGCTCACTTGTTGACCAAGGGGTGTCCTTGTTCAGTTTTATGAAATCAAGTAACTATCATACTTTTAAACAAATAGTTTACAAAAATATGTTTAAGTAAACTTAAAATTAATTTAAATTAAATTAATTTAATTTTTTCACATTTCATAGAAAGTATCGAAAGAGTTATACCACTCATACCGGAGATTAAACCACAAACGGACGCCAAACAAGACAATGATTTGCCAAACATATTGTTTGTGGGCTTTGACTCGGTTTCCAGACTTAACTTTGACAGACATATGCCGATCACGAGTCGGCTACTGGCCAGACATCACTTCTACACAATGTATGGCTTCAACAAAGTGGGTGACAATACTTTCCCGAATCTCACCCCACAATTGACCGGACATTATGTTCACGACATCTGGAGTGAGGACATGAAGACCACTCATTTCGATTACTTCCCATTCATATGGAAAGTAAGCTTTTCATTAAGATATTATCATTTAATGAATAATTTTATTAAAAATTTAATTATACAATAGGAATATAAAGAGAGGGGGTTTCTGACCCTTTACATGGAGGACCACCCAAGGCTTAATACATTCAATTGGAAACGCATTGGCTTTGATAGGCCGCCCACTCATTACTATTTGAGACCTTATTTTTTATCCATTAATGACAATACGGACGACAATTGCTATTATAGTAGACCACGGGTTGAGGTAACCGTTCAACCGTTACTTCTATTATTATCTAAACCATTGAACGTCTATTTTTTATTTATTACAAAAAACTACTCATTAATTATGATCATGTATTTTATTTATAGATATTTTACGAGTATTTATATGATTTTGTGAATACAATGCATGAAAGAAAGCAAAAGTATTTTGCCTATCATTTTATGGTGAAAGTAACGCACGACGACTTGAATGGAGT